GTGTTGAAGATTAATTAGTTTTATGATGTTTTTTTGAGTAGATGTTTTATGTTAGTTGTTAGATAGGAGGTGGGGATCACAGTACTTATGTGAATCCAAATTTTATTATGTTTTTGACTGTTATATATGATGTTTTATGTTTGGCCGCCTTATAAGGGCATAGTTGTCTTTGTATTGTTCTATTATTTTAGTATAAATAATAAGTGACGGGAGCGGCCAGATTATTGCTCTCTTTTCTTTCAACTTCTCTTCTTCTCTTCTTCTCCTTCTCTCTTCAAGAAACTACTTTTCTTTTATATTTTTTAATTCAGCAGATTTCTACTGATTTAACCCTTGTAAGATAAAGGAAAGGTCAAAAATGTTTTGAGCTACATACCTCACTTCAGTGCTATCAGGCAATTATGGCTTAATGCCTGAGAGTGTTATATAGGTGCCAGAATTCTTGGTTGTTGAAGGCTATGCTTCAGGGTGTGGTTATTATATAGGTAGGTCTTAAGCGAAAACAACATACTACCTCTCTCTCTCTCTCTCTCTCTTATATACACACACACACACACGCATATACTGTACATTGTTGCATCTACATAACTTACTTTTGACAATTAGTGCATAACATCTCAATACTCGGGAAAAAATATATAAGAAAATGCTTGATCACATCTAGACAACTTTCTCTTTCACAAGTATCTACCAAAATGTTATCTATACAGAGATACCTATTTAAGCATAGTAAATCAAAATGTACAATTTACAACAAAAGGTGACAATAAGCAAGACCTTCAAGCACTTACAGGCTCAAAATCTGTATCATTTGCTGAGAAGTCATGGTTAAATGGCAACGAAAATGCATAATCAATTGGATATGTCATTTACTGATGGTTGTTGTAGATAATAGGAGTACACAATTTCATATAGATAATTTCTGTTATTTCTAACTGCAATTCAAATGTTGACAAAGTTCAGACTGATAAAGGTCTTGGGATGTTTCAATTTCCAACTAAAAGAAGTGATGATGATGATGTTTTGAACAATGGACAATTCTGTGAATCTTCCATAGACTAAAAATCTTCATGGATCTGATGATTAAAAAGGTTCCACTGTATGAATGTATTGGTGTGAAAATGCAGCATTGCCAAACCTTCAATCATTTCGGTGTTTTCTTCACTTCTTCAATATTGTTAATAGCTGCCACCAAATCTTCTGCTTATTGGATTTACAGTGCTGTAGCATATGCACTACACAACCTCAGCATTATTTGCCAGATTATCCGAGTCAGACTTCTAGGAGAGAAAACTCTAGGTTGAGCATTTCAAGTGGTAGTTATCTACTATCTCTCAAATGCATGCCAGCTGTTAACTTGTTACAACTTTGCTATCTGTACACCACTCTAATGGTAGGCTACAAGTATTTAATGGTGCCAAAGATTGTGTGGTGTATAAGTCAAACCTTGAAGCCTGATTGGGTTTCAAGATCCCATCGGGACTAAAAAATTCTGCTTCTTAGTGCAAACATAGATTTTTTATTTTGTTAAGAAAAAGAAGTATCTCTTTGTTTCAGTAATTAAGTTTCTTTCTTCATATATTTAATTAACAATTGATTGTTCTCATCATAAATCAAGAAACAAAACAGAGAGAGAGAGCAGATCGGTTCTGAATTTTCTACATTCTTAACAAACAGAATGCAGATACAATGAAGAAAGACCAGACAATAAAGGATGTTTTCATTTTTAATAGGTCAGATGCTAGTATGTAGGGGCACTGTTCATTCTATATATATTACAAGAATGAACTGTGACAACACAACCCCCCATGTATTGGCATGTGTGCCATTTTATGACCCCAGGTCCCACTTAATGACCTCAGGTTCCATGAAATGAGAAGCTGAGGTCTTTCCATATCCTACAGAATGAACAGTGATCCAACATATTAGTATAACTCTTTTTAATATCATACTGCATGTTCTTTTACTCTTCCATTTTTCTTCAATAAACTTAGTCTTGCATATGTGATTCCTTAATCCATCTCCCTTAATAACTTTGACAGAAAGAATAATCAGAAAACCAGCAAGTTGTATGTTCTATAATCAAATTAGGTCAGTTTCAGTGAGATGACTTCATGTCACATTTGCTTGGTCATCATTCCTTTTGATATGATGACATCTTATTTAATCAAGAAAATTTCTTTTTAATATGAATGCAATAGTGAAAGAAAGATCTAGATGTGTGGTGCATCCATATACATGGTTTAAAATGTCCATATATATCCTATATTTTTAGAACATATTTACATTTCCACGGGTATTCCTTTTGATATGATGACATAATCAAGAAAAATTCTTTTTAACATGAATGCAATAGTGAAAGAAAAACCTAGATGTGTGGTGCATCCGTACCTATGGTTTAAAATGTCCATCTATATCCTATATTTCCACAGCATATTTACATTTCCATGGATCGACATGAAATATTACTAAAATCAGAATATTCCCCAATGAAAACTACCGGCACTATGTGGAATACAAGAGATGGTATTATAACATAAGTTGGCAACAACATTGTAGATGATGTGAATTAGAAATATTATTATCTGCCTAATGGACATAGTTAACCCTTTAAACCAGCTCTATTTTTTCTTTCAAACATGAAGTCAAATCTTAGTTTTTGTTTGTGCACTCTATCATATAGTTGTCCGGGCAACTTTGCAACACATTATTTTGTCTATAAACCTTAGTTTCTTAGTTTTATTGGATGATTTGGAACAAGATAATAATCTAAAATGGTATAGTTATGCTACTTTATCATCATCATCCAACCCTTATCCTACTTTTATCATTTAGTAAAATGTCATTCTATATTTATACATATTTCACAATGTTCACACCATGTCTATAATTTTTACAATATTTCCATGTGTTGAAGATTAATTAGTTTTATGATGTTTTTTTGAGTAGATGTTTTATGTTAGTTGTTAGATAGGAGGTGGGGTCCACAGTAGTTATGTGAGTCCAAATTTTATTATGTTTTTTGAGTGTTATATATGTTGTTTTATGTTTTGCCACCCTAGCATAGTTGTCTTTGTACTGTTTTATTATTTTAGTATAAATAATAAGTGAAGGGGGCAGCCAGATTATTGCTCTCTTTTCTTTCAACTTCTCTTCTTCTCTTCTTCTCATTCTCTCTTCAAGAAACTACTTTCTTTCATATTTTTTAATTCAGCAGATTTCTACTCCATGTGACATTTCCAACTTGTTTCCTATATTTAGATGATCGATATTTCCGCTAACACCAACACTTTAAACCTTGTCCATACCCACAATTCTATTTTCCTTTGTGTTTGCTTCCCACTTAGAGTGTGACCTTTTTCAAGTTCCATTCTGCCTACAGCTGATAGGATTACCACTCCTCTCAACTAAGGGGATTATTTTTCACTTATTGCATTTATACATATAAACTGATCAGAGAAAACCCTTTTAAACAATAATATAGAATATAATCCAGGTTCCACAGAACCTATTTTAAAAAGTCTTCTTTGGAATGCATCAAAGATCAGAGTCACCAGACAGAACCATGCTTAAGTCATAATCACACAATGATGGAAATCATGGAATAAAGATGAGTGACCATATACAACTTTATATTCTATCATAATTTTCTGTAAATAGAAGAAACAGATTGCTCAGTCTAACCCTGTAGTGTAGAATGCTTCATCCTTTCAAGAAGGAAACATTCTTCTTATAGAGTGTTATTATGCATTGTAACTTCTTGGTGTTCTATCTAAAAGATCTTAGGACTTCTTCATAAGTTGGAAAACGAGATGCTGTAAACTAGGATTTTTAGGAAGACATTCATATCTCAATACAGGGGGGGGGGGCATATCTTGGTGCAAAATCTTGGACCAACAAGCATGAGAATGCATGTTCAAGTCTGGCAGTGGTCACTTTGTACAAAAAGTTCCAAAGATTAGGTCCATATCTAATCCACCCATCCCAAGACCCCAAATATTGGGTACCAACATTGGGTGATGGTCCTTACCCATATCCCAATAGACAATCAATAGCAAAGACGTTATATGACATCGATATTTGCATGAACAGCTCCCCTGGAATGTGATTATCAGTTTATCACATCCTTTGGCATGTTCAAAGCTAAATACCTACTCTTGAAGATGCTGAACAAGGCAACCAGATCTAAAGGGTCTCAAGTGTGAAATCTAAATTAAAGATCTAGATCTTTCTTACTCAAATAAAGGATTTGAAACTTTTCATTGGGATATTATGATAAAGTCCCTCAGTCATAGTCTTACATTTGCATAACCTGAAGATCTCAAATACATTCAAATATCATAATCATCAGTATCTGCCTCAGCAAGACATTTTGAACGAAAGTCTCTAATGGTCAACCTATGGAAACAGTTAATGGGTGATGTGTTTTGTTAAGGCCTTACCAGTGTAATTGGTTACAGGTTTTGAATTTTGGCAAAATTGTATGCAAGATAGCAAATTGCTCAGTTTATAGGGTTATCAATATGGCTTGACTATATATAACTCTAAAAGTGTCCTCATACTAGTTGAACAGCTAATCAGCAGATCAGTCCAATGAAATTTTTTGCTTTGCCAAAACTACAGTTTTCACTCATTTAAGTCTCTCAAAATTCTGACTACTTTACGCATTTCATTAAACTGAATGGAGATGATGCACCATGAAAATGGTTAATTAGAGTACTCATGACATTTCGGTCAATTATAAATTTTTGAACTATCAAATTGGAGGCAACCATACACTAGAAGTCAATATGAAATTACGAAATACAGAAAAAGGATCATATTAATGATGAACTTCATTCAGCATATTTAATATGGTGGGAGGAAGTTGCTCATATCGTATTACATGCTATGAACTTGGTAGAAAAAAGCATTCAAGAGGGGTTTAGCCAAATCAATACAATCCCAAAATTGTATTAAGCGTCAAGTAGCGGAATTGAAGTATAACTAGAAAAACAGAGGGAAAAAGGAATTCGATCTGTGCTGGAAAACCTAGTGGTTTGGGAAAGAGAAAAGAATATACTGTTAGAATACCAATGGAAATACCCTACTTACAAATGGAAGAACCCAAATCAGATTCCAAATGTTATAGGCATCCTGCAATGCTCAAAGTCAAGGAGCAATCCGGTGTCCAGAAACCCAACAAAGAATTCAGCAAGCCTCTCGAGGTAGAGAGCTGCCTGATAAACATCTGTGGCACCCATGATTTCCATCAGAATACTTCTTCTGAGCCTATTAGCGTCTAGAAAAATGGTGACGAGCTCCTCTATCTGCGCCATGGCAGCCTTTGCGATAATGGATTTGGCAACCTCCTTTCTCCCCTCAAAGTTCTCCCAATCAACCGCTACTCTCTCAATAAATGCAGCCTGTGCATTCCTAGCACGGTCAACGAGTGCAGGAACCATGAGTCTGAGACCACATTCAATCTGCTCGATCCGGCTCATAAGAGCCTTGGACGGGTCCTTCCATGCGAGCGCAAACAGCAAGCGCCTGTCCCTATTGTTGAAATTGTTCCCATCTTCAGARTCGTTGAGGAAGGATCGGAGGAGGTTGGTGAAGATACTGGGGTGGAAATCGCCAAGCCAGAGGAAAGGCTTCTCGATAGAATTGCGCCACTCCGGGTAGAGGAGCTGCGAGACATCGTCAGAGGCAGCGAGGTCAAGGGCTTCGTAGTAGTCTTGGAAATGGTGGTAAAGCATCTGGACGTGGGTGGAGAGGGGACTAGTCGAGGAGACCGATACTGAGTGACGAAGCGCTGGGAGCAAAGTGTTCTTGAGACTGTCAATCCATTCACCATAAAAATTTTTGAAAGGGCGACAGCTTTTCTTGCAGCCGCCAATGCGGGCTGTTCAGTTTTTTCCGTCATGGCATGGGAGAGGAGAAGGAAACAACTATGGTTAGGGTTTCTTGAAGAAATAAGAAACAATGGCACAGACAGAGAGAGAGGAAAACTTACCTACTGCTTTCATCATCTTGGAAGGATCTTCTGGTTCTTCTTCTTTCGCTTATTATGGAGTTTTTCTTTGTTTCTTTCAAGGACAGATAGAGAGAAAGACAGGGCGAGGGACCAAACCAAAATCCAAAAGGAGGGAAGAGAGACACCATTCAAAAGACCGTTACTTTCTTAACTATAAACTAAAGAATGAATGACCCCGTACTAAGTACGGGGTTAAGTATTTTTTGATAATTTTTATTTTGTTTAAGCAAAAAATGTCTAATTTTTATTATTATTTCTTTATTTTTTTGAAAGATTATTTGTATTGTAATATAATTCCAATGTAGTATCCTGAACTTTGGGGGTAGTGTCAAGTTACTATCTGAACTTTCAAACGTGTCACTACGTTACCTAAACTTTCAAAAAGTGTCAAGATTGTTAACCGGCCCTCGGTTATCTGTTGAAAATGTCAAAACTACCCTTCAGAAGAAGACATACATTGTTCATTGTCCTCTACCTTGAGGCTGAACCACAAAAAAGAACATATGATGTATAAACTGATTAAAACAAGGAAAAATAAAGAGAGAATAAGAAGGCAATGACCATTAATTCAGCAATGATTTGTAAAGCATTTGTTCATGGGGATTAATGTTAGAACTCAACAAGAACCGGAAGCGACTCATTTATATCATCGAGTGTCCATTATTCCAATCTAAAAGCAAGAATGCAGTAACACCAACACCATAATATATATTTAATTTGCTTTTCTGTATTAAAAAACAATGAAGTTAAAGAAACACCAACACCATTTCGCTGATTTTGCCTGCCACTGCTAGGGCTAGCAATCTTGACCCCAACCCATTTGACCCACCCACCTTGGAACGCACCCAATCTATTGGTGGGTCAATATGGGTCGAATAACCCATTAGGGTCAGTGGAAAAGGGTCAAGGTTGGGTCGAGGGTACCCATTAGGGTCAAGATGGGTTGGCTTGCGCGGATCAGGATGGGTTGGGTCAAAGTCAACACTATTTATACTCGCCAAATTAAAAAACAAATAGTTAAAGTGACTCAAATTCACGCCTCCTAACATGTCTATATCTCATTACAATTCCAAACCACCATGCCACATTTCATTTTGAGATTAAAAGTGAAATAAAATAGATTTTATTAACTTTTGTGTTAACATGCAATTTTACATAAGCACTTCTACAAAAACAATTTTATAAAGTAATTTTATGAAAAAGACTTTTACAAAAGTACGTTTACATGAAAGCATTTTTATAAAAGTACTTTTATGAAAGTAGTTTTACAAAAGCACTTTTACACAAAACACTTTATGAAAGTACTTTTATGACAACACTTTTGTGAAAGCATAAAAGCATTTTTATAAAAGTACTTTTATGAAAGCACTTTTACACAAAAGCACTTTTATGAAATTACTTTTACGAAAATACTTTTATGAAAGCATAAAAGCACTTTTACAAAAGTGCTTGAAAGTACTTTTATGAAAGCACTTTTACGAAAGTACTTTTATATAAGTACTTTTGTGAACAAAGTGCTTTTTTCTACATTTTTTGGTGTTTCAAAAGTGGTTTTATAAAAGTTATACATCTTTTGCAATTTTTTGGCATTTTTCTACATTTTTTGAAATTTTTGGTATTTTTCTGCATTTTCTACAATTTTTTGGTGCTTTAATGCATGATTTTAGCATTTTTCTGGTGTTTTCATGCATTTTCTACAATTTTCTGGTATTTTTTTCATATTTTCCAGTTTTCTACAAAAGTTTTGAATTTTCTGCATTTTTAGTGTTTTTTGTAATTTTTTGGTATTTTTATATATTTTTTATTTCTTTTGCAATTTTTAGTATTTTTTGTATTTTCTACACTTTTCTGCATTTATCTACAATTTTTGCAATTTTAGGTATACGGGTTGACTTGATTCAATTTTTTCACGTGGCAATCTTGAGAGAGATTATTCTTTCAAAAGTTATTATTTCGGGTATATGGGTTGTCTCGACCCATTTTTGTATTTATAGGTGAGGATAGGAGGGTTAGTATGGGTGAGGGTGGTCAAGGGTCAATATGGATGGCTCAAGTGGGTCAATATGGGTGGGTCAAGGTTAGGGTGGGTTATGACCCTTTAACAAGGATTGATGATATGTCATGGTGGGTTAGTGGGTCAATAAGGGTGGGTTGGTATTAAACCCTTACCCAACCCAACCCACTTATTTGTCCCCTAGACGCTGCGATAGTAGGGCCCCTGGTTGGCCTCTCAAGCGTTTCAGGGTCTACAATCGATGGCATATGTCTCGTTCATGGCGTACTATGACCCTGGTGAGATTAGTTGTGACATCGGGGTGGTGACAGTCCACGTTGTTCTCTCAGCACAGTTCCATAGCTGGCTGAAGGTTTCGATTTCAATGTTCTTGATCCCAATTCTATATGTTGGGTGCATCCCCTGAATGCACTGCTCCACAAAGCCTTTTTCTGTTGCATGCTCTTCAAAGACTGAGTGCGTTAACTTTTGGAATCGCATGACATGTGCTAGAAGGTCTTCTCCAGCACGTTGATTTGTGTTACATAGGTCCGCCATTGTCAACCTCCGCTCGAGAGTGAACCACTTGGACAAGAAATTCTTTGCTAGCTCTACCCATGAGTTAATGCTCCCTGTTGTCAGGTTGACGAACCACGAATACATCGACATGGTCAAATATTTAGAGAACTCTTGGACCTTAAAGTCTCTCCATCCAAGGCAAACGCTCCTAGTACATCTTCAAACTTGTTAATGTGTTCTTGTGGGCTCCCTCCTCACCCATCATATTGTGGCCACTGCTGTGGGGGAACGTAACCAAAGGGATATGGCTTGTATAAGATGCAATTGGAGTAAGGTTTCTAGAGTACAAGTGTGGGTTGGGTTCTACTCTGGCTTTCCTCCACCAAGCCCTGGACATATTCCCTTATCTCCATTCGACTGATGGGCGCCTCCATCACCACATTACCCCGTGGAACTATGTGAGGTTGTTCGACGATGGAAAAGCAAGTCCTCTATACTGCGTCTGGTGCAGGTGCAAGGTTGGCTCTAGAGGAGTGCTTAGTCGTTCCAAGGTTTAGACCTCCAGGGTGGTTAGCGGGGACAAGCGTAGAGGGGCCAACAGGAGTGAATGGGGAGTATTCAATTGTCATTGTTTTTTGTAGGAGTAGTTGTAGGGTGTTTCTCATTTTGGCTTGCATCTATTCCAGACGGTCGAAACAAGTTTCTTAATTGTACACCTTGTTGGCCAAGATTTCGATATTAGCCTAGTCGGTTGTTTCCTGGCCAATCTGATCCTTGACTTCCAGGTTAGTGTTGTCGAGATTATTGGGTTGTTCTTCTGGGGCAAGGGAAATGTTGATTCTATGAGTAGCCATCCTCCGCAATCAAGGACAAACTAGAGATTCTAATGTAAATGGTGTGATAAGGCTAAGTGCGGTGGTCTCCTTGAAGGGCAAAGAAAGGCTAAGAGTCTTGGGTAACAAAGGTAGGCTACAATCTTCTATTGACAGAATTATGTGTTTGTTATGATCCACACCCCCTTTTATAAGGGTAAATCCTGAGGCCTTGAAGGGAAGGAGCCAAAAAGGGTTTGACTCCTATTTGGAAAGGGGATTTTTGATTTGGTGTCGGTTGTCAAGGGGACACTGCTAGGGGTTTGCCACATGTCTCATGAAATCTTTCCAGGATGAAGTTTCCTTTCGTCTAAGGATTCTCATAGTATACGTGTGCTACTTCCCTTTGTGGATCTCCTATATTAACGTGGTGTGGTCGACGTCAAAACTAGTCTGATGTGTCCTGCTTAATCCTGCTGGATGTCCTGCTATGAGCGACTTTGGTTGGTGGTGTTTTCGTCCATCGCAGGTCCGCAATGGCTTTGAGATCATCGTGGGTGTTTGATGGGTTACAGGTTCATTGCAGGTTCGTGGCACATTATGGACTTTGTCGCGGACCCATGTTGGCCTGTGTGTTGCCGTGGGTGTTTCTTTGGTTCCGGCTTGATACCTTCAAACCAATCGCAGTTGTGGTGAACAACATGTACTTACACAAAGAGAAGGTTTAATACCTATTTTCTATACTCAATCTACTAGAATTCGCTCGTCGATTCTCTTCGATCAATGATGCATGCGCAGACATTAGTCCGTTGGGAACAAGTGATGAATTGAAGGTTGAACAATTGATCCAATTCTTCAGAAGATCCTCTGGTATCCATATATCTGGTATCCAAACATGACCAACCACCTCGGTTCGATGTCGCTTTAGTCTTTCACGTCCAGAAACTTCCATTGATGCATAGGTATTAACATCTTACATTTTGATGCCAATGGTGGTGGTTGTCAGCGATGGGCCCTGCAATTCTTAAACCCGATCCCCCTCCTGTTCTTGGGGTTTATTGGGTTTTGAAGAAAGTGGAACCTCTAGCGAAGCACAAGCATCAACAATTTCTTCTTCGACATCAATGGTGGTGGTGGTGGTCGGTGATGGGACCTACAATCCTTCAACCAGGTTCTCCTCCTACTCTTGGGGTTTACTGGGTTTTGAAGAAGGTGGAGGTCTGGTGACTGGAGATACTTCGATTTCGATGACTCATTTTGTTGGGTATATAATTTTCTAATGAAAGGAGAATAGCTTTGTCTTCTTGGTCGTCTTTGTTTTTCGGTGTAGGTGCAATAGTGTCGAAGGAGGGAGGGAGGGAGGGAGAGAGAGAGAGAGAGAGAGAGAGAGAGAGAGGAGCAAGGCTCCATGGGAAGAAACGAGTGAGGTGTCAATTTGGACGTCATATGTTCTTTTCTGTGGTCCAGTTTCAAGGTAGAAGATAATAGACAATGTTTTCTTTTGAAGGGTAGTTTTGACATTTTCAACAGATAATTGACTGTCATTAACAATAGGGATCAACTTGACACTTTTTAAAAGTTTAGGTACCACAATGACACATTTGAAAGTTCGGGTACTAACTCGACACTACCCCAAAGTTCAGGGTACTAAAGTGGAAATTTCCCTTAGTTAATTAATTATTGTTATTAATATTATTAAGTATTTAACTAAAGCTTTTATTATCATAATAATTGTTATAATTAAAATTTTTACTATAAAATTTAAAGATTACTGAGCATTGTT